GGAAGCGGTGAATTCCGCGGTCCATGTTTTGAATCGAACTGGAACGAGTACTGTTCCTAACAAGACGCCGTACGAATTGTGGTACAACAAACGAGCAAAGATTGACCATTTGCGGATTTTCGGCTCAGAGGTTTTTGTGCACGTGTCAAAGGAGAAGCGACAGAAATTGGATCCAAAGGCGATCAAGTGCATTTTTGTCGGATATGATGGCAACTCGAAAGGATATCGTGTTTGGAATCCGAAATCGAGAAAAATCGAGGTAGCTCGAGACGATTTTTCTTCTGGAAGAATCAAGGGTTGTACTCGACATTGATGACACAAATGGTTTGAAGGTGAATGATGCAGAAGTCAACGAACAAGATGATGATCAGCATAGTGATGATGTTGATGTGGAGCCAGAAACACCATTGAAGAAACGGGATCGTGGAACTCTATGTGACGTAAATGAGCGGAACATCATAGGACATCGTTTGCGTGATCGAAGTACATTGTCTCGTCGGCGATTGACATATGACGACGCATCTGCTCATCATGTGGCCATGTTAGCAGTCAACGATCGCCCAGTCAGAAATGATTCATCGAAATGATATCGATTGAACGTCGTTCATATCGAAAAGATGTCGATTCGAAATTTGCGTCGAAATTTTGAATTTTGTGAGCAACATAAAAGTGCGTTTATGAAAAGTTTATTAGAAGTTTCATGCAATTTTTGATATTTTAGGTAAATATATTTTATATATAATTTGATATTCTCTCTCTTTTATTTTTTATTATATAGGGATCGAAACGATATCGTTTTGATATCATTTCGACATCATTATAAATATAGGAGAAATTGAATGTTGAAACGACATCGAAACGATGTCGATTTAGGAAAGCATCTGATTGGTAAAATATTGTGCACGTGATCCATATATGCGCATGGTGCACATAACAGTATGCGCGCGCCTACGATGATACGTCTTCCCGCTTTCCGTTTGCCTTTGTGTTACTCAGTGAAATTATAGGAAAAGAAATTTATTTTTTCTGATAAAACATTCTAACCAGGATTTTGTTACATTATTTATTAGTGTGTGGCATAGTGATTTACTGTTATAACAAGCAATTATAACAAAGTCATTTATTAGCACACAATGGAAGAAAATCCGGTAAGTTTTGTAAATTACTATTTTTAGGTTAGGCTATTATTTTTTATTAGTAATTTTCTTAGACTTTGCGCACAGTGTAGAGAAAATATTAGGAATAAGAATAAATATTAATCATTAGATAGGCCTACTGCACAATACAAAAGTATACACAATAAGAATAGAGAATAAATTTCCATTAACAGAAGCAGATAGATATTAAGGAACAATAGATATTCCCTGCTTCTATTGATGAATATTTTCTATTTTTTATTCCTATTGCTTAATTACACTTTTGTATTGTGCAGTAAGCTTAATGCTTAATATTTATTCATATTCTTAATATTTTCTCTATTGTGCATAGGGGTCTTAGTCGAGTGTAATATAAGAGATATTAACTCTTGTTTTTTTTATATTTTTTTTATTTATTTTAATATTTTAGTTAGTTATAATACTATAAATATATAATGTTATATCTATTAGTATTTCTTAATGAAGTGTTATTAAATTCATTTTTTATAATTTGTCACTATCTAAGATTGTTTCTAAGCCTATGAAAAGAAAATTGCGTAGAAGAGCTGCAAAAGCTGTCATGAAAAAACTTAAAGCCGATGAATTGCAAATGAAAATCAATAAGATATATGTACAATCTTCGGATAATAGTTCAGAGGTATCATCAAATATTGAAGAAAATTTAGTGTTGTCAGATGTTGCTAATGATGAATGCTATTGTGATGTTCCTGAAGAAAGTAATAATAGTGATACATCTGTACAAGTTGAACTGATTGCTGAACATATTGTGTCTGATTCACAGAGTGAATTGAGTGAGAATCCACAGTCTGATAGAAGTGAAGTCGAAAATGAGAATGCGATGGTTTTTAAAAATGTTGCTCAAATAGAACAATTTGTTATTGAATCACTTCGAGCGTGAACTTCTGAATCAGGTGTCCTTTCTATGTTAAAAGTCGATAATTTATTAAAACGTCTCAGTGTTGGTTTCCCTAATATGCCTAAAAGTTACAAAACACTTTTGAAAAGTAATATTAATCCAGAAATAAATATCTGTCAAAATGGAGAGGAATATTGGTACAAAGGTGTTAGAGCTAACTTGGATCAGATGTTATTACAAGATTATTTGCAAGTTCATAAAAAGATTATAATTGATATTAATATTGATGGTTTGCCGCTCTTTAAAAGTTCCAAACTTAAATTTTGGCCAATTTTAGGGCATCTTGTTGGGACTCTAAATGAACCTTTTATTATTGCCATTTACTGTGGAAAAAGTGATCCTCAGAATATTGAAGAATATCTAGAAAAATATGTAACTGAATTAGAAGATTTATTTCATAATGGCTATAAATATGAGAGCAACAATTATGAAGTTATAATTAGAAATTATATTTTAGACGCTTCTGCAAGAGCATTTATTAAATGTTGTAAGGGACATTCAGGTTACGCAGCTTGTGAGAAGTGCACCGTCATTGGAGAATACAATAACCACAGGATTACTTTCATAGACCTTAATCAACCTCTCCATACAGATGAATCTTTCAGAAATCGCGAGCAACCTCAACATCACGAAGGAACGTCACCACTTGAAAGATTAGGAACTGGGCTTGTATCGCAATTTCGTCTTGATCCAATGCACCTTCTATATATTGGTGTGTTTAAAAGATTACTTCATTTTTGGTTGTTTGTGGTTGGAGCATGGAAACTGCATGGAGATATTATTAATCTTATATCTGAAGTTTTTGTGTTTCTTAAAGAATTCTGTCCCCAAGATTTTAATCGAAAGCCAAGATCTCTAAACGATTTTAAACTATTCAAGGCCACTGAATTTCGTCGCATACTTTTATATGACGGCATCGTTGCTTTCAAGAATTTAATTCATCATAATATCTATAAACATTTTCTTCTTCTACACAGCGCTGCATACATTTTGTCTAGTTCTACTCTTATTCGCACTCATCTTCACTTTACTGAGCAATTCATCAGAACTTTTATCTCTCATTCAGTAGTTATTTATGGAAAGAGTTTTGTAGTGTATAATGTGCACTCACTCAGTCACTTAAGTAAGGAATGTCAAGAGCATGGTACTATGGATAATTTTAGTGCCTTTCGTTATGAAAATCGTCTAAAGTCAATTAAAGATTCCCTGATGTCATGCTATAAACCGTTGCAGCAGATAGCTAGACGTGATCTAGGAAAGGAAAAAATTAAAATTATTCTGGATTCTAAGCCTAATCAGTTTGTACTCTCTTTAAAACACTTTATTGCAAATGAAATTATTCGTGGCTCACAATATCGTAAAGTTATCATTGATAATATATGCTTCAGAATAGGTACAAAGAACTCTTGTTTTAAAACATCAAATGGTAATGTTGTTTTGCTAAAAGATATTGTTTATAGACATCGAACTCTATTTTTTGTTGGTTGTAAGTTTCAAAAACAGGAAGACTTTTATACATATCCACTTCCCTCTTCTGAACTAGGCATTATCTGTGTTTTTCAGCTTGAGGAGAGGAGAATAGCATATCCTCTCAATGATATAGAATGCAAGTGCTACTTGATTCCAAATCAAGAAACTTGGTTGTGTGTGCCGTTACTTCACACTATTCCCTTAATGAAAAAAGCACATGCAGCACATTACATGAATTAATATATATAATCTAAACATTTTAGAAACATAAATAATTTAAACATTTATAGAACGTAATATATTTATATTCTTATTTTCTCTCACTTCTTATTTTCTGTTTCACAGTTTGTTGTATTAAAATTTTTGCCAACAAATAAGGATCCAGATACATATTTTGATGTTGGTTTAAGAAAGTGGATTTGCACAGATCTTGATGATGAAATGTGCGGAAAAACATATTGGCCCCCTAATTCAAACTCTGTAACACAACTAGTAAAAACCGAAGAATCTTTTAAAACTAATTGGCCAAAACACGATGTGGAAGTGAAGAGATTTTACAGTAAAATTTTATTTTATTTTTTTGTGAACACACACTTTTATATATATATACCCACATTAAAATACTTCAACAATTTTTCTAGATACTTATCCAAAAGCCCGTGCAGCTATTTCTGGATTCCTTGCTGATTCTAATTATGAAACTGAGATAGAGCAATACATGGGTCGAGGGAAAAGGAGGAAAAAGAGTCGACAAATTACATCATCAGACAGTGATTCTAATTCTAATGTCTCATTAAAATTAACGACGAAAATTATTCCTGCTCCTCCTCCTGTGTTTCTCAAGAAAGCTTTCTCCAACACTCAACACTGTGATAGTGATTCAAATTCCAATACTTCTTCAAAACTGATGAAGAGGAATGTTTCTGCTTCCTCTACTATTAAGTTAAGTGAGGTTGAAAAACTTCAAGAAGAAAAGTTTGAAGAAACAAACGTAAATAAAAGGGTAAAAACAAAAAGACCATTCTCTAAACATTCTAACGTGAACTTGACAGGAAAAGAAATTCAAATAGCAAAAGAAATTGCGGCCTCGAAAATGAAAAGGCCAGAATTATTAACCTCATTAAGCAAGACTATAAAAAGTCCATTAAAACCTGTGTCATCATCTGTGTCAATATCTTCTCCAACTTCTTTCAATTCACTGTTTACAAATAGTCCTGCTAATTCTGATACAAGTGTTGTTCAAGAAGAAGAAAATCTTTTTTCAAATGTACAATCACCGATGCAAAATACAATACCTGAAGACAATTTGTTTATTCATTCAACTTCAACGCAAGATTCTATGACAACCGATAATTTTAATCGTAATTCTAAGAACATCAGCAGTGACTCAAACTGCGAACATTCATCAAAATTATCTAATTCAAGCACCTCCCATCGTACGTACGGACGAATAACATTTAAAGAGCAATTGCATAATAAGAACAAAGGTAATTTTGTTGCGATATGAGTGTAAAACCAATATTTGCTTTTAGTGATTCTAATTTTTCTACTATGTTTATTGCAGAGGAGACATTAAGCTTATTCAAAACGAAACTTGACAGAACACTTGTTATAGTAGAAGAAGTTTCTGGAAAGCTAGATATTCTCAACATGAACATGAGCAAGCTCATGAGAGTTATAATACCTTCAGAAAAGAGAATTTCGCGTCCTGAAAAAATGCCAGCATTACCGCTTAACACAAAACAAGATTTAGAAGAATTTAACAAATTCTTGGAAGCGGATCATAATTTAGCTGCTGCTGTAAATAAATAATTTCTCTTTGATTTTTTGAAAGAAAATTTCCTTCTATATGTGCTTACTAATATTTCATTATTTCTCGTTTACAGTGTCATTACATGTCTAATTATATGAAGTTAAGCGTGAAGAATCCCGAAAGGAAAAGCGCAACAAATATGCTAACAAAATTACTCTCTAATACACTGGCAAGTGAAATAAATTGTGACGGAGGTAATGGGAAAATTGCTTTCAAATCGCTTAAACTTTATGATTTGTTTCAAGGTAATTATTTACATTAATACGTTGGATTTTTTATTATTTTTATGCAAAAAGATGCAAAATGTTTGATATTTATATATGTACATGTCTTGTTCTAGGAACTCTTCAAATAGCTTTTTCGAATAGTGATCTTACTGAAGCAAATGCAGCTTTGGCTGGGTGGTTAAAAGATGCAAAATGGCGCAAGCAGTGTGACGGCAGTTTGGGAAATAGGAAGAAAAAATCTTAAAATTACGACTGAACAAGAGTAGTGTTTCTATAAATAATATATCAAATGTTTAATTACTTATATATGGGTTCATGAATATATCAACTTTTCTTGCATAAGCATTTTGCACAGAACAGTATGGGATTATTTGTGCTTTGATAAGATTATTTTTATACTTTAAAGAAAATGTGATTGTTATTTTATGGCAGAGTCTTTGATAAGATTACGTTTTATACAACTCTTTAAAGAAAATGTGATTATTTTATTTAAAAAACGCTTTATATTTTTACATTATATTATTATGTTAATTATATTGGGGCTCTCTTATGGTTATTTTTATTTTCATGTATCAGAGTTAGATAAATGGTTGTGTATGTATAATATTTTAGTTTAGGAAGCGTATAGAGAGATCTTGATATTGTTAAAACATATAAATATTCTAAGCGATTTTTCCAAAGATAATAATATATATATATATATATGTACATGTATATACATAATATATACATAATATATACATAATATATACACACTTTGGCATACAAAGTACCGACTTTTTTTATAAATTCTAGTTGGTAAATATTAACATATTCTTTTGACAAACATTTATAATAAAAATAATGATAATAGCAATAATGTTATATGTATTATCAATATATGTATTCACTATTTATAAAACTTACCATTATTGTAGAATTCATATATTTTATCTCCTTTTTTATTATTATATGTAAAAATCGAAATGTCTTTCCTTCCTAAAGATATACGATATATATAGATAATTATGTAATCAAATTAAAATATTGTAGTATTGTAGCCTATTGTAATATATATATATATATATATATATATATATATATATATATATATTCACATATAGAAATAAGAACAAAATATAAATAAAAAGATTCATCCATTTATATAATTACTATGACAATAGTAACACTCTGAAAAATTTTGAATTAATATACGTAAAGAAATGATTGAATAAAAAAGTAATCATTTATATATATATATATATATATATATATATCATCATTAATTTTTTAATTTAAATTTATATATATATAAGTTTAAATTTAATAATATAAAAAAATTAATGATATACATATAAATTAATTGACTTTTTTCAATCATTTCTTTACGTCTATTTTATTGATTCAAAATTTTCACAGTAGTGTTATTACTACTGTTATAAATTATATAAATTAATGAACTTTTTTATTTATATTTTATTCTTATTTCTTTTAAATAAATTACAAGATTTCTCAATATTGAATTAAAAAGATCGATTCGAGTTTCTATTTCGACGTCGAAAATCAATCGAAATTGGAGTCAAAAATTCATCGAAATCAATAGAAATTTCGAAATTTTTCGATCTTCATTTTCGATGTCGAAACAACGTCTTTTCGACAAATCATTTCTGATTGGGGAGGAACCAAGGACGTACGAACAGGCGATTAAATCGGCGGAACGAAAGCAGTGGGAGCAGGCAATGGATGACGAATATGCCTCGCTTATGAAGAATCATACGTGGATTCTAATCGATCCACCAGAAGATCAAAAGGTAATTGACAATCGTTGGGTATACAAAGTTAAATTTTGTATAGATGGTAGCATCGAGCGCTTCAAGGCGAGACTGGTCGTGCGTGGCTTCACCCAGGAGTATGGATGACCGTGAGACGTCAGTGGTGGTCAAGTTCACGGATTCGATTACCGTGAGACGTTCAGTCCGGTGGTCAAGTTCACGTCGATTCGAGCCATCCTGGCATTGGCAGTGTCGAAGCAGATGTCTCTCAGGCAATTCGACGTGAAAACTGCGTTTCTGAATGGAGACCTGGAAGAGGATGTCTTCATGAAACAGCCGATTGGTTACGATGATGAGAGTGGACGAGTATGTAAGTTGGTTAAAAGCTTGTATGGTTTGAAGCAGGCTTCACGCTGCTGGAACCGGAGGTTCACATCGTTCATCACAAAGTTCGATTTTAGGCCAGCCAATCGGATCCATGTGTGTTCGCATGCAACAGAAAAGATGGAATGATTGTATTGGCAATCTACGTGGACGATGGACTCATTGCATCGGAAAACGAAAAGGCCATATTGCCAATGATTGACCATTTGCAAAAAGAATTCGAGATTAAGATATTCAACGTAGGATGCTTTTTAGGATTTGAGATCGATCAACGATCGAACGGATCAATTCATGTCAGTCAACGGGCATACGCACAAAGAGTACTGCAACGTTTTGGCATGATGGACTGTCATGCAGTCTCGACACCACTAGACGCTGGACAGAATTTGAGTGACTTCGAGGCGGATGGAGAGGTCAATTTTCCGTATAGGGAAGCGGTAGGCAGCTTGATGTACTTGGCTGTGGCGACGCGACCGGACATCACCTTCGCGGTCGGAAGTATCAGTAGATACTTGGAAAAGCCGGCCGAGCATGTGAATGCTATCAAACGCATTCTGAAGTACGTAAAGGGTACCTTGGACATGGGAATACTCTTCGAAGGAGGCAACGATCTGACATTCTGCGGCTATAGTGACGCAGATTATGCGGGTGACAAGCGGACTGCACGATCGACATCGGGATGTGTCTTCCTATTTGGCGGAGGGATCATCAGTTGGGGTTCGGAAAGTCAAAAATCAGTGGCGTTGTCAACAATCGAATCCGAGTACATGGCAGCGTCGTATGCTATAAAGGAGTTGATATGGCTGAAGCAATTGCTGTCGGAACTGCTACAAACTGAAATGGATACGCCGAATTTCTTTATGGATTGTCAGAGTGCGATTCGGCTTGTGAAGAATCCGGAATTTCACAAGAGGACCAAACACATCAATGTTCGATACCACTTCATTCGTGAGAAGTTCGAGGAAGGTGAATTCGAACTGAAATATGTGTCAACGAATGAGCAGTGTGCAGACATTATGACAAAGGCATTGCCAAGGGCAAGGCATCAATTTCTTCGTGCATTAATGAACATAGTTCCGTTCGAAAATTGATTGTTTCCTTGTTTTTTTGTCATTCTAAAGTATTTGATTAATGAGTAACTTGTAACTAAAAGTGGGAGTATTGAGATTCGAATACGCGCCGATGTCTCACATATGGTTTAGTTTCAAGTTTTTTTTTGGTAAGGTCCCCTACCCTTTCGGTCCCATATGGATATGGTAACGGAAACTCGGCTGTATGTCCTGTAGCCTGAGAATGATCGGGCACTTCTTGACTTGATTTCTTACAATAAACACGCGGTTCAGCGTTTCTCTTAATTTTTCACTTTGGCAAGTCTTGTGTGTTTTCTTTCATTTAATAACCACGTCCTATCACAAAACGCGACATCGTCAACAATCTGACATAAGATTTTAAAAAACAGTGTATTTCTTTATAACCATGACAGGATTATCGGGACTTGCTCTATTAGCATATTCAATACATTCATTTGAAGATCTTAATTTTAATTCATTTTCGTAACGATAAATATGTACTGAAACCTTTTGGAATAAGTAAAACGTAAAAATTTTGACTTTTACAATAACCGTGAAGTGTGACCATAGTCTCCATTAAATTGAACAAAGTTTAAAAAATCACTTTTGATTGGCAGATCAGCAATTTCCACTAATAGTACACCTCTTACCGTTTTTAACTCAATATTATTACAGAGGAAATATATTCAACACATTCAAACAGAGAGTACCAAATGATATTAATAGGTAGTTGCGTCTATCTTTTATACTTCTTTATCCCGACTTGATTATCATATCCTCGAGAATAACATGTAAAAAGTTTTAATCATCGCTCATTATTGAAAAATTATTATCAAATAAACTTCCTGGTAATAAATTTTTCACGTATATTCATGCAGAATTGAATATAATTTTACATAACCATATACAGAGTGTCCCAAAACTCATAATCAATCTTTCAAAGACAGATTTATCTTTGCAATTAAGCCTTAAATTAAAACTCAACTAAAGTAAACTATATTTAAAATTAATCAAAGAATGTGGTTTTGTTAATATTTTATTTCTACAAAGCTTAATTTACGAAAAAACTCTTATTTCCAATCACTTATAATTCGAAAATTATTAGTGCCTCAACATTCTCCTTGAGGAAAAATCGTCTTCAAATGATCCCAGGAATCTGTCTTTGAAAGATTGATTATGAGTTTTGGGATCCCCTATAATTGTGCAAATATATGTATAATTATAAATAATAGAGTACAGGTCATAATATATATGTACATATAAGTGCAATAACTTTTACATATAATTATATATAAGTGCGCATTTTGCATACTTATATATGAATTTCTGTTAGTTTAATATGTAATTATGTATAAGTATCTTGCGTCATATATAAATATGTATAAGTAACATGGATTTCTGTTAGTTTAATATAATAATAATATATCAATAATAATATATAAGTCTTGCGTCATATATAAATATGTATAAGTAACAAATATAATTCAGATACAATCATATAATGGCCACGTTCGAAACGGTGGCGCACTTCTGCCCAGGGCATCCCTACCGGCGGTGTAGGTACGGGAGGGAGGAGAAAGCGAAGGCCCACCCTTACATCCCCCCGCGCGCGCGCATGTGTGTGTGTGTGTGTGTGTGTGTGTGTGTGTGTGTGTGTGTGTGTGTGTGTGGGGCTACAGCGAAGAAGTGTCGATTAAGTATACTTCTTGATTGTGTAGACTGTCAATGTTTAATTCCGAGCGTGGTCGTTTCGAACATGGCCATTACAAACGTGTGGCCGTTTCGAACGTGGCCGTTTCGAACGTGGCCGTTTCGAACGTGGCCATTTCGAATGTGATCAAATTTATCCGTGGTCATTTCGAACGTGGTCAAATTATATCTACTCGTCACAAATCTGGGTTCTTGACTGATAATGCACTCGGCGTCGCGACGCTTGATTTCTTAAAATCTGTGTTTTTAAATAAGAAACCTGACTGCTTAACGTGTCATTTCTCTTCTTTATATAGAGTTCTCAAAGACGCAGTAAATGTTTTATAACTCGTATTTTTCGTATTTGTATGCATACGTTTATTCCTTTTTTATAGAGTCTGTATTGGAAACAGCTCTTTGAACTATTTCGAATTGATACCAGATTACTAATAAGTTATAAAAAAACATGTTTTTTTGCATATTTATATATACTTTTATGATTTTATTTCTAATCAGTAATGCCAGATTCCGGTTTTTCGGTAGTATGCGGTAAAAATCATCTCATTAAATCTAAAAAAATTAGAACTTAAAACTAATCTAAGTCCAATCAAAAATTCGTAATATGGGTTCTGATGTATGTATAGATATATACATATTTTTATGATTTTACTTCTAATCAGTGATGCCAGATTTCTGTTTTTCGATAGCATGTAGTATCATAAAAAGGATAATAGAAAGAGACAAAACATGATTCTCTCTCGCTCTTTTCTCACAGAGAATAGGATGTTTACATTCGCGAGGAAGCCGAGTCCGCTTATCTTTACGACCTGTCAAGTGCGTCGAGAGCGTCAGCGAAACCGCGAGTCGAGAGCGAGCGAGATGACCTATCATTATACTACAATGTCTCGTTCTCAATGATTACATGTAGTAGCGCTATGCCCAAGTCCACAACGTTTAGAGAACTAAAAATTCGAATTTCCTGCTTTCAGCGCCACTCCTTTGAGTGTAGCGGTTACCTACTTCATTGTTGTTCGTTGTGCCCAACGAAACACACGTAAAGTACTAACGGGCAATATTTATTGAAAATAAAGAGTTGCTCGGATTAAAAATGGGAAAAGATAAGAAGAGAAAACGGTCTCGATCGCTTTCGAGATCTCGTTCGAGATCCCGTGATCAAAAGCGAAGTAGATCTGACGAGAAATACAAGAAAATGCAATCTCAACTAAATAACCTCGCTTCTCTCGTCAACGATCTGTTAGCCCAAAGGGACAAAGGAAACAACAGCGACAATTTCCACAGGTAAAAAATTTACTTTTTCCATACGAAAAGTAAAGGCATTTTCCAAACGAAATTTGCCGACCCAACAAGAGTATTAACTGCCAAAAAATTTACTTTTTCCACACGAAAAGTAAAGGCATTTTCCAAACGAAATTTGCCGACCCAACAAGGGTATTAACTGCCAAAAAATTTACTTTTTCCACACGAAAAGTAAAGGCATTTTCCAAACGAAATTTACCGACCCAACAAGGGTATTGACTGCCAAAATTTCCGCAAAATTCCACACGAATTTGCAATCCCAAAAAAGGAACCTTTTTTATGCCAAAGTGCAGTATATTTAATTATGGCAGACCCAATAAGGGTATTTTTAGAAAACATGTTCAAATAACTCCACACGAAAGAAAAAAAAATAAAAAAATCATACCTGAATGTGGTAAGTATGAGGTTATTTTCTGTTACAGATGCCACTTCCAATAAGGAAAATGTTCCACCCATTGTGGGACAAGAAGTCGTGATAGATACCCAAGATGGCGGTCGCAAAGACGACTCAAATTTGACGCCAACGTCTGAACAAGACGATCCTGAACACGATGGGTTAGTAGATATTCTCAACTTGTTGGGAGAGGATCCCACTGCTTCTAAAGAGAACGCAGTTAAGCTACATCCAGAAATTGTTAACCGTTGGAAAGAGATTATGAAATTCGGCTTGCCAGAGGAGGCTAAAAAAGTTTTGCTAAAAAAATTTCCTCGAACAGGGGAATTGTACACTCAACCTCCAAAAATCAACGTAGAAATCATACCAGCAATGACTGAAATTTCGAAGAAAAGAGATCAACATTTTACCGATACACAGGAATGTGTAGGTACAGCTATTACATCACTGGCGGCTGCAGTGTCACTTTTACTCGAGGATCCAGAAGAAGGTGTGGATCAAATAAAATTGATTGAATATTTAAGTGACACAGGGAAACTGTTGATCGACGTTTTCCGACAGCATTCAAAAGCCAGAGCGTCCTTCATTACTCCCATAATGAAGAAAAGTGTTAAGCCACTGGTGGACTCTCTGTCTCCAGGTGAATGGCTTTTCGGTGATAAGTTGGCTGATCAGATCAAGGAGGTAAAGACAGTTGAGAGTGCCTGCAACAGTCTTAAGGCGGTTCATAAAGTTACCAAAAAACCTCTCCAACGCTCACAGGAAAACTGGAGAGGCCCATCTGCCCAGTACCGGCAGACGGGCGGCTACTACAAGAAACTCTTCCTCCGATTCAAGTCGAGGACACAATATCGATCGAATTAGACCAGTCGGGAGAAGAGTAAACCATCGAAGGAGTCCAGCAAGAAGTAGAGGAAGTAAGACAAATAGGAGGTAGATTGAGATTTTTTCATGAGGAATGGAGAAAAATAACGACAGATAGTTATGTTTTAAATGCCATAGAGGGTTACTCTATACAATTCGAAAAGAGTCCTTATCAAAATAAACCTCCTGAGCGGCAATCTTGGAGTGAGGAGGAATCAGCTCAATTAGAGTTAGAAATTAAAAATTTATTACTCAAAAATTCAATTGAGGAATGCGAGCCATGTGAAGGACAATTCTTGTCTCCAATTTTTTTGGTACCAAAGCTAGATGGCGCCTATCGATTTATACTAAACTTGAAAAAGTTAAATAAGTTTATTGACGCACCCCATTTTAAAATGGAGGACATCCGATCAGTAAAAAATTTGCTAATTCCGGAGGCTTTCATGACAACAGTCGATCTCAAGGATGCTTATCTAACGGTTCCAGTCTCTGAAGACAGCAGAAAATATCTCCGTTTTGTTTTTAAAAATAAGCTATATCAATTTAGGTATCTTCCATTTGGCTTAAGTTTAAGCCCATATGTTTTCACGAAGATTATGAAACCTGTAGTAAGGATTTTAAGAGAGAGGGGTATTCTAATGATAATTTATTTGGATGATATGTTTTTTACTGCCAAAAGAGTCAAAAATTGTAAATATAGCATATTGGAAGCTAGAGAGTTATTAGAAAAACTTGGCTTTGTGATAAATGAGGAAAAAAGTTCACTAATTCCTTCAAAAAAGTGTAAATTTCTGGGTTTTACAATTAATTCGATTAATTACACTATTGAGTTGACTGATAAAAAGAAAATCCAAATAAATAAGTTACTAAAAGAGTTTACTGTAGGGAAATCTTGTAAAATTAGAGAATACGCTCAGTTACTAGGAGTTCTGAATGCTGCGTGCCCAGCAGTGGCCTACGGTCTTGTCCACTCTAAAAGATTAGAAAGAGCAAAATTCCTTGCGTTACTAATAAATGACGATAATTATGAGGCAAAAATGTTGATTAAAGACAACTTAAAAGAGGATCTCGATTGGTGGAAAATTCACAGTCAAATCGGTATCAACCCAATTCGAAAGTCGAATTTTGTAGCTGAGATTTTTTCTGATGCCTCTTTGACGGGCTGGGGTGCATATTCTAATGATCAATCGGCTAGTGGTTTTTGGAATCAAGGGGAAAAAAAGACACATAAATTATTTAGAGTTGTTAGCGGCCTTCATTGCTCTCAAATCATTTGCTCATAATTTACGAAATTGCGAAGTTCTACTGAGACTGGATAACACGACTGCTATTGCGTATGTAAATAAAACCGGCGGTGTTCAGTTCCCGATACTGAGTGAATTGGCCCGAAAAATATGGCTGTGGTGTGAGGAACGAGGTATTTGGATATACGCGACGTATATCGCTTCGAAGGATAATATCCATGCAGACACAGCATCTAGGATCACAAACATGGACACAGAGTGGGAACTCTCTGATAAAGCATTCCAAAAAATCCATAATAAATTTGGTCCATTTAGCATCGATTTATTTGCCACTTTCGAGAACAGGAAAGTTGACAAATTTTGCGCAAGATATCCAAACCCAGAGGTTTTTAAAGTAGATGCCTTTACTATACCATGGCAAAGAGAGAAACCTTACGCATTCCCCCCTTTTGCACTCATTTTGCCAACACTAAAAAAATTCATTGCAGATGAAGTGGAAGGTGTAGTTGTAGTACCTTATTGGTCATCTCAGCCGTGGTACCCCCTATTCAAATTGCTGCTCAGAGGTTCGCCGATAATTTTTAAGCCAAATAAAACCTATTAAATTCTCCTTGTAGGTCCAAAACGCACCCTCTAGCGAGAACACTTTCATTGGTGGCCGGGAGATTATCAGGAAAGCATTTCTAAATAAAGGACTCACTGAGGCAGCAGCTGAGTTGATGGTGAACTCAGTATCTTCATCAACCTTGAAACAGTATGAATGTTCCCTGAAACAGTGGTATTCTTTCACAAAGGAAAAGGATCACGATATGTTCAACACGAACACCTCGATAATAATTGAGTTTCTCACTAAACGGTTCCAAGAGGGTGCGAAGTATGGAACTCTAAACTCCGATAAGTCAGCAATAGCACTTATCACAGCACAGCAGTTTTCAAGTGACAAGTTGATCTCGCGTTTCATGCGCGGTGTTTTCAAAAAACGCCCTACAAAACCAAAATACGAGACAACATGGAATGTTGATAAGGTTCTGGATTTCATACAAGAGCTTCCAAACAATGATTCATTGCAATTGAAGGAATTAGCAGGAAAAACAGCTACCCTGCTTGTCCTCATCACTGCACATCGCTTACAAACAATGGCTGTAATTGATATTGATAATATTATCTTCACAGAGTCACAAATTGAAATTAGAATCCCATCTTTAATTAAAACTTCAAAACCTGGAAATTTTCAGCCCAACATGGTGTTACCTTTTTTGAAAGATAATGAGCGTTTATGTGTAACCAAGTCCTTGTTAAAATATCTAGAGATAACGAAACCAATTAGGGGAGATCGCAAAAATCTGTTTATTTCCAATGTTAAACCACATAAACCGATAACAGCTCAAACTCTATCTCATTGGATTAAAGCTTTTTTGAAGAAAGCTGGAGTTGACACAGATATTTTTTCAGCTTATAGTACCAAACATGCTGCCGTTTCCAAGGCCTTTAGCAAAGGTGTCGATATCGATACTATCAGACGCACAGCGGGATGATCTAAGAAGTCAAATACTTTCAATAAATTCTATAATAGGCCAATTAATACTGATAAGGACACCTTTGCATTCTCCATTCTTAAGTGATATGAATATGATACATTGTTCCTTAAAAAAAAAAAAAAAAAGTTTAAATAAAAAAAAAATTAAACACAAGCTCTGAATTTCTACATGTAATCATTGAGAACGAGACGTCGTAGTATAATTGAACGATCAAACGAGCCCGCCGAAGGCGGGCGAGGTTCGATCGTCATTATACGAAGACGTCTCGTTCGAAGATGATTACCTCCCACCCTTCTAAAATAAACAAACAAACATATTAGAAGTGACTCGATTTATCTAAATTTATTTTTCTATTCCCCCAATGTTACCCGTAATCATAAAATGAGAAGTCATTACTTAATTTCTGTGTTAATTTTTCCTTTTTTAGATAATGGTCTCTAAACACAATGAAGTAGGTAACCGCTACACTCAAAGGAGTGGCGCTGAAAGCAGGAAATTCGAATTTTTAGTTCTCTAAACGTTGTGGACTTGGGCATAGCTGGCGCTACTACATGTAATCATCTTCGAACGAGACGTCTTCGTATAATGACGATCGAACCTCGCCCGCCTTCGGCGGGCTCGTTTGATCGTTCAATCAAAGAATTCCGAAGTCTCTTACAATCGGCTTCTTCACTTCCTCTATCCATTCGCAATTTACGAGATTATAAACTAAAAACTGAAACTCCTATTTGTTATTTTATCGATATGACAGTAATTTTAATGAATTACTTAGATTTTTGCGATTAAAATGATATCAAATAATCAATCGGATAAATGTAGTTAAATATATATAATCAAAATTTTTATTATCAGACCAATTAAAAATTATCCGATTTACGTCGTGTTTGATAAGCGGACTCGGCTTCCTCGCGAATGTAAACATCTCATTAAATAAAAACTGAAACCCCTATTTTTTTATTTTATCGATATGAAAGTAATTTTAATGAATTATTGAGATTCTTGCGATTAAAATGATATCAAACACGACATAAATCGAATAATTTTTAATTGGTCTGAAAATAAAAATTTTGATTATATATATTTAACTACATTTATCTGATTGATACCGCGTTTGATGTTGTTTTAAAATTTGTCGTCATTGTCGCAAAATTTTCATTGTTCCATTACAATTACTCGCATACCCTATAAATATATCTTAAAATGATTAATTTATTTATTTCTCACAATTTGTCATCGGTCGCTTGCCAGCGGCAGGCTTGATAACGAGATGAATATGACAGTATATGAGTACGTAAGAGCGAGTGAAACAATAACAGAAGCGAGCAAGAGAGAAATAGTATGCCAGACTGCAAGAAAGACTCGGTTTTCGAGTCTTCGTTGCTTGTTCTATTCCTATCTCGCTCACTCTTATTGCCATTTCGCTCCCTCTTATTACCTTCTCGCTTGTTCACATACTCCCGCGTACACTATATGTACATATACATATATATATATATATATATATATATACATATATACATATACATACAGTAGCGGCGGAAAGTATTTTGACAACGCGTTTTTTGCAGATAAAGCGCACATCGGGCGCGCTGTTGATTAGAAGTTGTTGTTAGTGAACACTTTTCTGCAGTCTGCAGCGGTGACAACATCAGTCTTGATTGAGTGGATGTTTCGTTTCGGAAGTGCTGCTGTTATCTTTAATCTGTAAGTCGAAAAGTATTTTGACACAGAAGGTTTTGTCTAAAAGAGACACGCAGGGGCTCACGTAAGTTACTTTATTTACGGTTTTTGTTTACTTTATGTTTTGTTTATGTTCAGGAGCTATGCAAAAACAAAAGGAATACTCCAACGACATAAAGTCGGCTGTTATTGCAGCATTGAAAAATGGAAAATCTCAAGCTCAAGTAGCGAGGGATTTTAATCTGAGCAGACAAATAATCTCGGTTTGGATCCGTAAAGAGCAGTCCACAGGCTCGGTTAGCAACAAACAAAGGTCGGGCCGACCGCCAAAACTCACTGACCACGTATCTAGGATTATCCGCCGCATGAGTGTCGCTAATCCACGTCTGACAGCAGCTGACATTAAGAGAGATCTAAATGAGAATCACAGTCTTGACATTAGTTTAACCACTGTAAAACAATGCCTCCGCAACGCGAATTTGTTTGGCAGACGCCCTTCCAAAAAGCCATTCATATCCGCGAGGAACAGAAAGGCGCGTCTCGAATTTGCTCAAAAGTACAAAAACTGGACTAGTCAGGAGTGGGCTCGTGTGCTGTGGAGCGACGAAAGCAAGTTTAATATGTTCTCATCTGATGGAATAAGGTATATTAGACGACCTCCGAACAAAAGAGATGACCCCAAGTATCAGGTACCGACCGTTAAACACGGTGGTGGCCATGTCATGGTTTGGGGCTGCTTCTCTCGTTCAGAAGTCGGTCCGTTAGTCGAAGTGAAGGACATCATGGACCGATTTCGTTATTGCGAAATACTGCAGAATCACATGCTCCCTTATGCTAAGCACAACCTTGCCAGAAACTGGATTTTCCAGCAGGATAACGATCCGAAACACACCTCTGCACATGTAAAAGAGTTCTTTACGTCTAAGAAGATTAAAGTTCTAGAGTGGCCAAGTCAGAGTCCCGACCTAAACCCGATAGAACATCTATGGGAAGAGTTAGATAGACGGATTAGAAAAAGAAAATTTTCCAGAAAACAAGATCTGATGGCTTGTCTTACAGAAGAATGGAAGAAAATACCATTAACTGTGATCACCAAACTTATTGACTCTATGCCGGCAAGATGTGCGGCTGTGATCAAATCTAAGGGCTTTGCCACTAAATATTAAAGCTTCTGATGTAATCAAATTAATTTTCGGTGGTTAATTACAGGTTTTGTTTGGAAGTTGCAACAGATAATGGTTTTGTCAAAATACTTTCTTTCTACATTTGTTTAAAAAATGTAAAAAATAACGCAGTTTTCGTTTTTAAATGTGATATTTGTTTTTTCTTTCTTTTCTACTGAGAGGCATTGTTGCTTTTGGACAAATATTATAACTTTGTTATAACTTTGTTTCAGAAATAAATATTTATTTTCTATAAATTGTGCTTGTCAAAATACTTTCCGCCGCTACTGTATATATAAGTGTATAAAACGACCGTATGTTCGTGCTAGATTCATTAATTATTGTGAATCTCAAAATAAAGTACGAAACATTATTGCGTATGATCTTTTTTTCATTTTGGTAATATTTATTATTGGAATAACATACACATATATATTTTATTAAAATACTTTTATTGAAATTATTAAAACATTAAATTTTATGTGAAATAAGCATTTTAATTTTATATATATTTTATATACACGCATATACATATATATTACTTTATAATATATGCTAAAGTGAAAAAAGATCACGCGCTGTTAATAATATGTAATAAAAATTAAGAAATGTATGATATGTTTCGTACTTTTGAGATCCACAATTATGGATATAGCACGGACATGAACCAATCGTTTTACCGTGGCAGTGAAAAGTGAATCCGGCCACGTAGTACCGCCGGCCGTAAAATGGATCCAGTTAGCGCCACTTTATGGCGGGGAAAAAGCGTTCCCTGAAAAAGGCGTGACTCCTCTCAGTCTTCTCTCTGCTGATACTTACCTTTTTTTTATTTTTATTAAATTTATATTATAATATTTTGAATGAAGATAAAACGTATTTTTTTAACAATCTTCTAACATTTATTACCTACATACATATAAACATATACCACAAAATAATATTAATATTAAATATATTATATATTACATGTTGTCAATTTTGCAAATAAAATCTTATATTTTTTTTACTTAGAATCTCATATATATGTATCTCTGAAAACGAAGAAAATGTCTATTAATGTTCATAACGATGAACTATATAGATGAGAGGGAAAAAAATTTTATATATAAATATAAAATATTGCAAGCATTCAATTTAACAATAAATTAAATTTAAATTTAATAATTTAAATCATAAGATGCTATTATCAATATTCATATATAAATTATTTTAGACATACATATTCGTGTTCAAATGTATTAATTTAATAAGCTATTTATATTTTAACATCTAGTAGAATGATAAAATACGCTTATGTATAATATGCAAATTTATATGATTAAA